ATCTCATCGCAGGATGAACTTGACGTTGATGATATTCAAGACAGGCCTGTCTTGAATATCCGCCCCAACATCAACCTTGCTCCAGATTGAAATATACCCCAGCACACGTCAATACATAGAATCCTGACCTCCTTCACTCCCCTCCGACGCAAATGGACGTCACGTGCCCATGGCTAGACGCAACTGGGCGCAACTACTGTAGTAGCTGATACACAGTACGGCTCTACAAATACGCGCGAAGCGCGACCACCAGCATCTCGAAAGGCCTTTTCAGCGGCCAGCTACTACAACTTCCCCCGAAACTACGGTGATAACCTTGCCTACCCTTAGATATGAAGCATCTGTATTTCAGAAGCAACCCATGGCATAAAACGGGGGGTAAAACCCCCTTAAGCGTAACCCAGGGTGTAGGGGTAGGGGTTACCTATGTGGCTATGTACGAAGGGAGGTGGGTAACCTAACCCCGGGGTAGGGGTAACCTCTTACCGAGGGTTAACAAAGGGGTCGGGGTAATACACTACTGATGGGTAGCAGACAGGGTAACCCATGTTCACATTCACACCTGCGCCGGTCTCGCCTGTCTACACACGCAAACATACATGTCTTCACCAATCACTTGTGAATGCCCAATTATCAACATTGCCGCACCAAAAAATGCCTTGCAAGATATCACCCGGCCACCAGGTGCACTTGGTCGAGGGGGTATTGTCCGGATTACCTGATGGTGAACGAAATTACCGATTCGAAAAAGGGACCAAACCTTCGCCCGCCGACTGCTTACCAAGAATGGAGGTTTTTTTGCAATCTACCTTTTGTTTTCTAGTCTAGGGTAATGTCGGAGTATCATCATTGATGAGGCGCCTGACTCTGCCTGACCAGCCTAACTTTCATGTGGCCGCTGAAGTGAGCTCTTTAGGGACCTTTTCTTTAGGAACGCAAATTTCGATGCCATACGATGGAGAATTCAAAGTGTTTGGGCTTTAAAAAAGCAAACGCTCGGCGGCGAGCAACTGCCGGGAGGAACAAATAAAACCTTGACACCTTAACTTATCAGCGCCAACGAAAAGAGTGATCCTTGGTGGGATGCATGAAGCTCAACTCCCAAATCGACACAGTGATCCCGAGCACAAAAAATCCAACCCGCTGACAACTTACACAGCCACACACACCCATATCGGCCAGTGTCGGCTCTTCCGTACACCCTTCCGTACACCCTTCCGTACCATACAGAGTCAGAGCTTCCTTCCACTCCAATCAGAACCTGTTCTCATCCCCCTAACACTCGCACACAACCATACAACCATGTATATAAGCAATACATACATACAACCATACGTACGTGCGTACGCACATGCGCGCCCGTACAGATCTGTAATGCCAGCCCGGCCATCATCACCGTCTTTGCGCTGGATGATTTTCGCGTGGTTCATCAAAACGGGAGCTCCCAGCGATATATGGGGTTACGGATGATACATGGCGACGCCAGTTGCGGCGGAAGAGGCCGAGGCGGCGGCAGAAGGGACGGGGAGACAGCAGCGGCGGCTGAAGGGATAGCGGCAGCAGCAGCAGCGACAGCGGAAGAGGAGTTGGTGGTTGTGGACGAGGAAGGCAGTGGCAGCGGTGGGGATCAAAGAAGCGAGTTGGAGCTCATTTTTTGCCTGGACCCGATTAAGCTGGAGCGGCTGCTGATGGACATTCGCGAGGGCTGTGTGGGCCGCGTTTGGAAGGGTAGGGGTAGGGTAGGGTAGGGGTCCATAGTCTCTCGGACAAGGGGCCAGGGATGCATGGACAGTGGGCCGGTGGTGGATGTGGTTTCGGAGGCATGGTGCGTTCGCCCATGCATGGCTCTGAGCGCGATGAGTGGGGTCCAGGATCAGGTAGGGGGGAAAGAGAGGGAGCGCCCGGAGAGGAGGGACGGATCCGTTCATGCCGTACAACAGGCACCAACCCACACATCACGACTCAGCTGGCTGTGTATATTCCAATATCCAGGATCCTCCATTGCTTTCAGGTTTTGGCTTGTTTGTTTGTTTGTTTGTTTGTTTGTTTGTTTGTTTGTTTGTTTGTTTGTTTGTTTGTGTGTTTGTGTGTTTGTTTGTTTGTTTGTTTGTTTGTTTGTTTGAGTGTGTGTTTGTTTGTGTGTTTGTTGCCTTTGTTGTTGTGCAATCGGTGAGAACAAGAAGCAGGAAGCAGCGCCTGAACAGGCAAGTGAAAGGGCAAAAGGGTATTCCTGCTGTGAGACTAACCCCAGTTTGTTTCTTCTTCTTTTCCCAAACTATCTCTCACGCTCACCCCCCTTCCCCCTCGCCCACTTTCCGGCCCCCATCTGCCGCCGCCGCCGCCACCACGGTCGCCATCATCATCTTTGGCGACCGCCGTACACTCCCCTCTTCCCGTTTCTCACCCAAGGCGTCGTACGGGTGCCTCCCAGCCTCATAAGGCCCCTCGCCGTACAGGAGCGCGCCCGTGAGCCGTACCGTCCGGATACCGTTTTAGGCCGTAGTGGACCATGTAATGAGGACCTGATGTTTCTGGGAAGTTGTACGGCTGTGGACGAGACGGGCAGCTTCGTGGCCGCGGCAGGGGCGGGGCCGGGCCCGGGCGGGACGGGCGGCGAGGCTGTGAAAGGTACATGAGAGGGAGATGGGGACTGGGCGGAGTCGCGAAAAGCTGTGCGGTGAGATTAGGGTAGATTTGCGGGCATGTGGACCTCGAGCACTCCACAGACATACATACAGACGTAACTCAATGACTCAACGTGGTGTGGTGTTTCGTGTTTGCTTTTAGGAAGCCCCATCCTGGCGTCTGTCCCGAAGGAATTGTGTAATGAGTGTGTGGTGTCTGTCTGTCTGTCTTGGCTGTCTGTCTGTCTGTCTGTCTGTCTGTCTGTCTGTCTGCATGTATGTATGTTGTTACAGGGTGGTTAACTTCGCCAGCGGCCCCCTTTCCCGGGGCAGTCCCTGCTCTCCCCTGCTAGAGGGGCACCCCATCCGACTTTTAGAATGTATTCGTTGGGTTCGGCAACTCACCACCAGCATCCAACCAAATCTAGCGGATCAACGGCGCCTCAACTTAGTTCCTGGTTAGCTCGCAAGTTGATTTTATCACGTCCTACATCGTCCATATGATGGGGGGCCACCTCCCATTTCCTCACTTCTCAAACACCCGAGGAGCCGGCAGGCGGACTTGAACCCGGGTCGGCCGGGAGCAGAAGTTAGGCCTTAACCTCTGCCAGCCGCCCTGTATGCAAGAGAATTTATGTACACTTCTGACAGATATAAGAGTCATTCGGTCAATACATGTATGTATGTATGTGTGTCATGGGCAGGGGTGGTGCTCGTTATGCGTGCATGAGGAGGACTTCATCCCCCCCTTGCGTCCCACAGGTGGTTTCGGAGCTGTTGCCGTCGGGGCCCCAACACCGCATGGAGGCGGCGGTGCCGCTGCCACCGCTACTGCCACCGCTACTGCCACCACTGCTGCTACCGCTACTGCCAGCCGCAGCTTTGCCGGTGCGCTGGCTCCTCAGACCCCTCGCTACACCAACACCCACGTCCCCACACACCTTCAAATACAAACCAACACTTCTTCCACCACAAACTTCCCGAGGTTGCCCTTGATGCCCAGCGTCGCGGGCAGTAATATCGCGCCCGGCGGCGGCGCAGCTTCCTCATCGGCGATGATGGCGCGCGACATGAGATCCACCTCTTCCTTGTCCCCCACTCGCTCATTCCGCAGTTCCACAGCGGCTACTGCTGCTGCCGCTGCTGCTAACGGAGGCAGAGGCATGCCGGCCTTTGGCAGCTCCGACCAATCGCAACCGTCTCAACCGCCGCCCCAGCAGGAGCAGAAGCAGCAGAAAGGCATCCTGTCCAAACGGGCGTCTTCCTTCGGAGGGGGACTGGCCGGCGTCAGTCTCATCCCCGTTCGCCGCCTGCTTCATATACACAGGGGGGCGGTCACCAGCCGCAAGGCCTTCAGCCATGCACAGATCCACCCGCATAATAGCCACAGCCCCCGGCATAGCCATAGCCAAGCACATAGCTGCAGCTGTGGCCCAGCCCCGGAGTCACCTGGGTCATTGTCGCCTGCGGTGACGGCAGCCACCGCCGCCGCCGCCGCCGCCGCCGGAGGAGGAGCGCCCCTGGAATCGCTTCCCGTACAGCGTTCCTCAGCGCTATTGCAGCTGCTACAGCAGGGGGGGCAGCAGCATGGACAAGTGCGCGGCTCGCGGCTGACGTCGTCACCGTCGGGACGGCGACTGAGCCAGCCGCCGCCGCCGCCGCCGCAGCAGCAGCAGCAGCAGCAGCTAGTGTCGATGGAGGAAGGTGGTCCAGTGGTGGCGCCGCTGCAATCGCAGCGTTCGCGCGGTAGGAGCCTAGGCTCCCGTACACCCGCAGTCGCGGCGAGCCGAAGCCGCCTGAGCTTGCTAGGAATCAACGATTGCGAGCCGACACCCGTCGCTGTCAATGCCGTACGGCCTCGCGCACAGTCGGTGCTTCTGGGTACGGCCTCCGGCGGCGCTGGTGGCGGCGGCGCCGCCGCCTGCACAGCTGTCCCCATCTCTAATATGAGCATGGATTCAGGAGTAATACGCGCGATGGGTTTGTTCGAGTCCACCTTCTCCTCGGGAAGCGGAGCGGAACCAGTGACCCATGCCGATCCCCTGGTATGTGTATGTATGTATGTATGTATGTATGTATGTATGTATGTATGTATGTATGTATGTATGTATGTATGTATGTATGTATGTATGTATGTATGTATGTATGTATGTATGTATGTATGTATGTATGTATGTATGTATGTATGTATGTATGTATGTATGTATGTATGTATGTATGTATGTATGTATGTATGTATGTATGTATGTATGTATGTATGTATGTATGTATGTATGTATGTATGTATGTATGTATGTATGTATGTATGTATGTATGTATGTATGTATGTATGTATGTATGTATGTATGTATGTATGTATGTATGTATGTATGTATGTATGTATGTATGTATGTATGTATGTATGTATGTATGTATGTATGACTTAGATTACACTGTGGGCCGCGAGAGCCGGGGGCCGAAGCCGAAACACAGCGCAAGGGTCGGGAGCACACAGCACAAGTCGGTTAGTCTTGTGTGCTCCCGACCCCGACTCAGACTGCCAACACTCTACGCAGCCACTCCGCAGCCCCTCCATCCGGGGATGGCGCTGCATTGAATACACCACGAAGGGTTCTCAGGTCCCGCTAGGGCGAGTCCACAAGTCTCAGCTAGGGCAAAGTCAAAGGCTCTCTGAAACAACCCCCCAAAACACCACCAACGAAAACGGGATTCGAAGGGAAAACAAACAAACAACTAAAAGTTGGGTTAGGGCAGTCCCGGCAGGGGGGGGCTCCTGATATACCTAACAGGCCAACAAAAAACCTCCAAGAGAGAAAGGCTAAGAGAGCTCGACACCACAAGACGTCTTGCAACCACCTTAAAACAACTGACCTCCACCACCTGTCCCTTCCTGGGCTGGTCCAGGGGAGAAGTAGCCTTATAAAGAAAAGGGATCCCGCACAAGCCTGATCACCACTGCAGGGGCCCGGGATAGTCCGGCGAAACGACCAAAGCGTTAGCGTTGCCACGACACACAGCTCCTAGACCCTCCAGAAAACCGCAGGGGGAGGATTGTAGCCCGCGCGGCGCCTCCCCCTTACCGCCACTAACCTGAACGGTTGGTCCTCCAGAAACCTATTCACCCTGTCTCGTACTGCACCGCTCTCACCTTCGTCCCTCACCAAGCAACCCAGTCCCACAGAGAAGACGTGTCTAAATAGAATGGCCCTCCTCGGGCCACCTCATCCGAGCCCCGCTACCACCACCAGACCTCAACCTCCCAAACACCAGAAAACCTACGTCCTTTTGGCGCTCTCACCGCCATCTCCCCCCTCCCCTGTCCGAGCGACCCCACCTCCCCCCGGCTCTCCAGCACCCTACAACCTCGGAGTGGCACTAGGGAAGAAAAAGGGTTCTTCCCTGCACGACGTGACCGCCTCCATTCCCCGTCCTCCTCCTCTCCCTCTCCCGTCTCGGGGTTCCCTCTCACCTATTCCCTTGTCCTCCAACCCCCATCCCCTTCGAACTCCTATACCCCCCCGAGCCCTGCCCTATAAACTAAGCTCAAAGCGCTCTTAGGCAATAATTTCCACCGCTTCGGCGCACCGCAGTGCGCCTTCTGAAACCGACAGGATCGGGTGGTCGGGTCCCACCCTGTCCCAGCCTCTCCGCGGGGTGCCCAGCGCCGTGAAGGAGCGCAGACGTATGTATGTATGTACGTACGTATGTACATAGTTCATGTCCATAAATCCATAAGTCCACCCCCCCATCCCTCCATGCATACAGCACACTATACCTAGGTCAGGCACTACTGATAAGGCACATACTAATGCCCCCGGGAGATCCCGGGATCGAGACCTGTCAGGGTCGGAAATCCTTCCAATGATTGAAGGTAATAGTGCCCCTAGTCGATGGACGGTGGTGACCTGGTATAAAGTTGACCTGCGAGCTGACCAGGAATGGAGTTGGGCCGCTGTCGACCCGGCAGATTCCGTTGGATGCTGGTGGTGGGTGCGGAACCTGAGCGATCCACTGAAAAGTTGACTAGGGTGACTGGATGAGGGTGCCCCGAAATACCCGCGGGGAAGGCAGAGGGTCTGCCGGGTAGCGGCCGCAGGGTGAAGATATGAGCCCCCTGTCCCACACATCATACACACACGCCACCCTCTCACCTCAACCGAGTCAACCGAGCCAGGGGTGTAAAGTCGGTGTGTTGCAAGTTCCAGTCAGTGCCGTACACGTTCCAGATCTCCAGCTCCTCCAGAGATGATATCGCTTGAGTCCGAGTTTTGTTTTGTTTGCGTACATACGTACAGACATACGTACATGGATACATACATGGATACATACATACGTACGTAT